ATGCAGGGGGCCATACACCACCCAGACCCGCAGTAGCTACAACTAGCCGTCTGGCATCTGAGCACCAGTTCTTGATGTGCGGATCTTACTCTTCTAGGTTGATAGCTATGATCCAAGCTTCCAAACGGCCGGCGATGAACCGGATCTATGATGCCACTTGGAAGAGCTTCTGTGACTGGCGTACCTGTAAGGGTTTGTCTATATCTTCCGTCACTATTCCAGTGATTCTTGAATACCTCATGGATGGAGTGGATAAGGGTTTAGCGTCCAATACCTTGCATAGACAGGTGGCTGCTCTTTCCACGGTGTTCACCTGTGCCAATGCCACTCCATTGTCCCATCATCCCAGGGTTCGGTCCTTTATGAAAGGAATCTCCAACACCAGACCTCCGGTAGTACACAGGTATCCATCTTGGGAACTGCCTCGGGTTCTGCAGGCATTCTCAAGGTCTCTCTTTGAACCTATAAGGTCTTGTCCTCTTCCCATTTTGTCCCACAAGGTGTCTTTCCTAGTAGCCATCATGTTGGTGAGGCGCGTGTCAGAGCTGGCTGCTCTTTCAGTTAGGGAAGACCTGTGTACCTTCTATCAGGACAGAGTGGTGCTGAGGTTAGATCCCTCATTCATTCCCAAGGTGAATACACTGTTTCACCAGACTCAGGACTTTGTACTACCAAACTTTTGTCCCAATCCTTCTCACACACTAGAAAAGCAGTGGCATTACCTAGATGTACGTAGGGCATTGCGTCATTACATTAAGAGGACAGCTTCCTTTCGCAAATCGGAGGCATTGTTTGTCTCTTTCCACTCAGCTTCCAAGGGACAGAAGGTTTCCTCCTCTACTATAGCCAGGTGGATCAAGGCCTGTATCGCTGAATCTTACCAGGCTTACTCTTTACCTATCCCAAGCCGCCTGACAGCGCACTCTACTCGTAGCGCTTCCATGTTGATGGCGTGGCAAACTCAGGCGTCCATAGAGAACATCTGTAAGGCGGCTACATGGTCGTCCCCTTCACCATTCATTCGCCACTACAAACTCGACAAGTTTGCTTCCGCAGAGGCCGCTTTTGGCTGTCGGGTTTTACAACAAGTGGTCCATTTCAGCAACGACACTTAACCAACCTGCTTCCCACCCGTGGGATCATAGGGGTTTTGGTATGTCCCATTCGGGGATTCTACATTCCTCAACATGCTGGAGAAGGGGCGTTGTCTTACCTGAACGCCTTTTCTCAGCATGAGGAATGTAGAATCCACCCCCTCCCTGATCATTACTAGCAGTTAGGTTAGTGTCAGCAGTTCAGAGCCATCACGTCACACAATCATTCGCTTCGCCCTTTCGAAACTGGGGCATGATCAGATCCTGCAGAGGCGTGGCAACTTTGTTTGGTCTGATTGGGCTAGAAGACTAAATCAACCCATTCGTGGATTCTACATTCCTCATGCTGAGAAAAGGTGTTCAGGTAAGACAATGCCCCGTCTTCATTGCTCCTCCAGGGCAACTTTCCGTCCCTTTAAGAGACGCTAGGCAAAGCGAAACCGGACTGGGAGGCTGGAGACCCAGCCTCCTATGACTGTCCCGTTCCCTGCCAAATTGGAAGCTTTTCCTGTAATAATTTTAATTTAATTCTCGGTTTTCTACCTTGCCAGATAAATTTGGATGTAATTCTGTTTAAATTTTCAAAAAAATCCTTGCTAATTTAATGGTACACATTGAAATAAAAAGAGTAATTTGGGAAGTATATTCATCTTGATAGTCGCTATTCTCCCCATAAAGGAGAGCTGCAAGTTTTTCCATCTGTCTAAGTCTGCTATAATTTGATCTATTAATTTGTCATAATTTTCTCTTTTGAGTGTAGTACATCTTGCCGACAGTTGGATCCCTAAGTATCTTATTTTTTTAGATGTCTGGATATTGATTTTTTCTACTAGCTCAGTTTCTTGTAAACTGGACATGTTTTTAACTAACATTTTAGTTTTTTCTTTATTAATTTTCAACCCTTCCTTCTTTATATGCTAAATGTAACATTCTATTTCCTAGGAATTCAATCATATTTAGTCCTCATTATATTCACCAGTTAGGATTAAATCTTTGTTGCCTTATCTCTTCAGTTCTAAGACTAATGATCAGTGTTCGAAGATATACATCTGTCTCTTGCTGAACATAACAGTGTTTTAGATATTTGTGAACCACTGTCACATTTCCATCTTTCAAACATCACTCACTCTGTTGTTTTCATATTTCTTATTCTGGAAGTTGTCCTATAAATCTGTTCCAGTTTTTTTTTACATTTTTAAAAGCGGTACAGGTAGTCTTGAATTTATGACCATTTGTTCAGCAACCATTCAGAGTTATTGAGGTGCTTAGCAATGGCCCTTATGACTAGTCCCCATAGTTATGGCTGTTGCAGTGCCCCCACGGTCACATAATCCAATTCAGACACTTGGCAGCCCACTTGCAGATATGACTACAGAGGCATTTCAACTCCCCCCACCTGCCTATCTTTCCCCATGCCCTTTTGGCCTCTAGCCACATGGCACTCCACTCTGGCACTTCACCATCTTTTTGCTCCTGCTGCTCGTGAGGCACTTCTTGCTTCCCCTTTTGGGAGGCAGCCAAACCTGGTTTTCTTCTCCAGGTTGCACAAGGCCTTGCAAGACCCAGGAAGATGGCCTCATGTGATCAGCAACTGCTTCATGAGGGGCCAATCTAAGCACATATTAGCAGTGGAAGCAAGAAGACAGTTAAAGACAACTGGGACATTGGCATGTAGGGTGTCAAGGGTGACTATGGTAAGGACTGGGGCAGCTATGACTTTGCATTGTCCTGCTGGACTAGGCTGGGACTGATCTTAATGCTTTGCTTTGGCTCAGGAGTTATTGAGCCCCAGAACCACAGTGTTCCAAGAAGTCCCTTTGCCGTGGATTGCTGGGCCAGACTGGGGCTGGCCTTTGCACTGGCTTTTTGCAGTCCCAGAGCCACAGCACAAAGCCCAGTCTTAGGCTGGCTGTCCCAGTAGCCACTTGGGCATGCCTCAGCAGCAGCAAGAGCAAGAAGATGACAAGAGCAGATGGGGTGCAGCAGGGAGAATGCAGAATAATGAGGAAGAGTGCAGATGGGATGCTTCCCAGGCTATAGCAAGTGACCCTAGAGCCATGCAGTTCTTGGCTTGCTTGTTTCCCCCCAAAGAAGGATACAGGGAAGCCAAATGAGCAAAGAAATGCGGGAGATAAGGACCAATTGGAGGCAGTCCCAATGCCTACTGAGTTTGGGGCTGAGAAGCCTAACCCAGAATGGCTTGGATTGGAGTGAGAATGTCAGTAAACAACACATTCACGTGATGTTGCACTTAGTAATGGAAATTATAATGCCCATTATGGTCATAAGTTGAGGACTACCAATACTTCCAAATGTTGTCTAACTAGGACACAGGTCGGCGACCTGCGGCTCCGGAGCCGCATGCGGCTCTTTGAGCCTTCCCCTGTGGCTCCCAGCCTCCTCTGCCTTTGCAGAGAGAGGCAATTGCACTTCCCTGCTTCTCTCTCTTTCTGTGTGTGTGTGTGTGTGTGTGTGTGTGTGTGTGTGTGTTTTGTGTGTATGTGTGTGTAAAAGAGAGTGCACTCACAGTGTTCTCCAAGGAGCTGAAAAGCTTTCTGGGTGTAGCTCCTCCCTTTGCTGCGTCTCTGAAGGAAGCAGGAAGCAGGAAGGGCAGGAGAAAGCTAGCTAGCCCAGCTAGGCTGACTCAGGAATTCTGGGAGTTGAAGTCCATGAGTCATAAAAGAGACGAGGTTGCCTACCCCGGAGGTTGTTGGACAACAGCTTGAAGCTTGCCAGGTGAGCAGCAGATAGGAGGGGGGGGGAGAAAGAGAGAGAGAGAAAGAGAGAGAGAGGGAGAGAGAGAGAGTGGGGGAAGAGGAGTGGCAGACCAAGGGCAGATAGAGAGGGAGGGAGAGAGAGACCCTTTTGACATCTAAAATGAAGATAACACTGCATATATCCTTTTTTTACCTTTGTGTGTATGTAATTTTATTCTCTTAAAGCATTCTCTTGGTGATCATTGTTTTAATAGTATGGATATTCCCAAGAGTCATATTTTTACTTTTATTTTTAATGTGTATATGTGTGTGTGTGTGTGTGTGTATACACACACACATATACACATACACACACACACACACATACACACACCTATAATAAAGGTAAAAAAGGATATATGCAGTGTTATCTTCATTTTAGATATCAAAAGGGTTTTGCGGCTCCCAGTGTTTTGTTTTTGGTGGGAAACGGGTCCAAGTGGCTCTTTGAGTGTTTTGGGTTGCCTACCCCTGAACTAGGACCTGTTATATCTTCATAATCTGGAATCAGATTTCTGTTCATGCAACCATTTTTATTGTTTATTGTTTCTAAGCACCTTCTCACATGTTTGCTTACTAACATCATGCTTGTTAAGGTTTTATAGGCTTAATCGAAAAAAAATAAACATCCAGTCATCTTGAAAACTCTAAAGCAAAACTTATACATGAAGTAGTATCTGTACTAGTGATATCTTAATCCTAAATTCCAGTGGTACAATTTTCATATGTATAAGAAAAAAGTTGACCTTGTTTAATATTAACTGCGATCATCCAAAAGTAAGCATTTTGAGGGCTGTTGATTAAAGAAAACTTGAATATGAGCTTAATTCAATTGAATATGAGCATTAGTGGTGCAGTGGTTAGAATGCTGTATTGCAAGTTAACTCTGCTCACAGCCTGGAGTTCAATCCTGATGGGGCTCAAGGTTGACTCAGTATTCCAGTCTTCCAAGGTCGGTAAAAAGAGGACCCAGGGCAATATGTTGACATAATAAACCACCCAGAAGGTGCTATAAAGCACTCTGGAGCAATATATGAGTTTAAGTGCTATTGCTAATGCTGTTAATTCTTATTGAAACAAAATGACTTTGTGAGCAAAAAGTATGGATATTATACATGAAAAATATTTAATTCCTTTTTTATCTTTGCAGTATGGGTTTTAAAAAAACTGTTGGTCCACTTTGGAATAGTGCAATTCTCATTGATTTACTACAGTACCTACTGGCATAGTCTGGAAGATTTTGTGAAACAACGTCAAGAAGTTCTTGTACCACAACCAGTTAAGGGGCTTGGAAGAATTATTCTCAAATTAGACAGCAAGGTATTTAAAATTATTTGTGAAATTGCTCTAGCTCAAATAATTTTTAAGAAATAAGCACCCTATACTTTGCCACAGCATTTTTCTATTAAAAATAATAAAAATACTGGTGGTGGGCTTCAGATTATATAGCACAGTGATTCTCAACCTTTCTAATGCCGTGACCCCATAATACAGTTCCCCATGTTGTGGTGACCCCCAAGTGGGTGTGGCCACCAATAAGAGGGAGTAGGACAGCTAGGGAAAAGGGAAAAAAATGGCGGACAGTATGGTTTGGCAACCCCCGTGAAATGGTCATTCGACCCCAAATGGGGTCCCAACCCACAGGTTGAGAACCACTGATATAGCACAACTTTTCCAATGTTGGTTTTAGGATCTTATTATAATTAATAACTGAATATGACATTAAAAATGAAGCACTACTCATAGGAAAGAGACAGCTATTCTCTCGCACCACCCAAAATCATTTCTGTAAGGTTGGAGAAGCTTTTCATACAGTTTTGGAAATACTTTGTGGGAACTTTAGAAAGAAGCAGTTGTGAAACTTAGGTTGCAAACTTAATATACCATTTTTAGACATTTTAAATTAGGAACAGTATTCCTAATTCTTCCCTTTTATTAACTAACAATTTTGAAAAACTGGAGAAAAAAATTAATAAAAAATGCAGTTAATTCTTGCAGGAAAAATTGAACCTTACTTTTGCAAGTATTTAGTATATAAATATAATAATACCATAAAGAAAAATGTTGGTGACTTAGTATTTAGAGATGATTCGAGAATACTAGAGGGGTTTACTAGATATATTTTCTTAAACATGTTTTTATGATTGTAAAAGAGAATCTGCCATAATCCATTTTAAGAGATAGTGATAGATCATTGTTGAATATTCTTGTTGGGGATGAAGGGAGAAGGTTGATACTACTATCTGCTTGGGAGCGGGGAGGGGGAGCAGGGATTTCCCCCCTCTTTTTCATGTAGGTATACATTAGGTTTCTTTGTTAGCTTTATCTTTTTAATACAATTCTTAATAAAATTATTGAAAAAACAATGGTTCAAATTGTTATAATTCTTTTGGAAAATAGAAAAAAAATTAGAAAAAACACTTGAATGCATTTGGGTCAATATAAAAGGGGGAAAAATGACATTGCCATAGGTGTATACTATAGGCCACCCAACCAAACAGAGGAAATAAATGAACTTTTTGCTAGTCAGCTAACTAAGGTATGTAGGAAGCACATCACAATAGTAATAGGGGACTTTAACTACTCTGACATCAACTGGGAGACAAACTCAGCACCAAGTGGAAGATCAAACAGATTCCTGACAAACCTAGCAGACAACTTTGTCTCCCAAAAAGTAGAGAAGGGAACTAGAGGATTAGCCATATTGGATCTAATTCTCATCTAATGAAATGATAGAAGGTGTTGAAGCCACAGGAACCTTGGGAGGAAGTGATCATGCAATATTGGAATTCAACATTATGGAAGCACAAGCAATAGAACACAGTCAGACTAGAGTCTTGGACTTCAAGAGAGCTAATTTCAAGAGAGGGCTTGGAAAGGATTCCATGGATGAGAATCCTCAAGGGGAAAACAACTCAAGAAGCTTGGGAAATTTTGAAAAGTGAGATAATAAAAGCCCAGTCTAGCACAATACCAATAAAGAAGAAAAATGACAGCTCTCAAAAGAAACCAGCATGGCTGCATAAAGAACTCTCTGACAAATTGAAAGATAAAAAGGACAAGTATAAAAAGTGGAAAGAGGGGCACATAACTAAGGCAGAATATCAGCAAATAGCCCAAGCCTACAAAGATGAAGTGAGGAAAGCTAAGGCTCAAAATGACCTAAGGTTTTCGAGCAAAGTCAAAAATAACAAAAAAGCTTCTTTCAATGTGTAAAAGAAAAGGAAAAAGTGAAGGAAATGATTGGTCCATTAGTGGGGGAAAGTGGCAAGAAGGTGACAAGCAACAGGGCAGAACTATTTAACTCGTCTGTTTGCATCTGTCTTTACACAAAGGGAAAAAACATACCAACCTATCAAAAATAATGCCATAAAAAATAGAATAGAAATACAAGTTAAGATAGGCAAGAAAATGGTAAGTGAGCACTTGTCCAGCCTAGACGAGTTCTAATCCCCAGGACCAGATGGATTACACCCCAAGGTTCTCAAAGAACTGGCAGATGTGATCTCAGAATCACTGAACTATATTTTTCAAAGATCCTGGAGCACTGGGAAACTACCAGGGGACTGGAAAAGAGCTGATGTAGTTCCCATCTTCAAAAAGGGGAAAAATGGATCCAGAAAATTACAGACCTATCAGCCTGCCCTCAATATTTGGGAAGATTCTGGAAAAGATAATCAAACAACGAATCAGCGAACACCTAGAGACAAACAAAGTCATTACTAAAAGCCAACATGGGTTTGTCAAAAACAGATCATGCCAGAAAATTTTATTGTAGTATTAATACCACTTTACAATGCCTTGATAAGGCCACACTTGGAATACTGCATTCAATTTTGGTCACCACGATGTAAAAAAGATGTTGAGACTGTAGAATACAGAGAAGAGCAACAAAGATGATTAGGGAACTGGAGGCTAAAACATACAAGGAACGGTTGCTGGAATTAAGTATATCTAGTTTAATGAAGGCAAGGACGAGGGGGGACATGATATCAGTGTTCCAATATCTCAGGGGCTGTCACAAAGAAGAGGGAGTCAAGCGATTTTCCAAAGTGCCTGAAGGCAGGACAAGAAGCAATGGATGGAAACTAATCAAGGAGAGAAGCAACTTAGAACTAAGGAGGAACTTCCTGACAGAACAATTAACCAGTGGAACAACCTGCCTCCAGAAGTGGTGAATGCTCCAACACTGGAAATTTTTAAGAAGAGACTGGACAGCCATTTGTCTGACATGGTACAGGGTTTCCTGCCTGAGCAGGGGGTTGGACGAGATGACCTCCAAGGTCTCTTCAAACTTTATTATTATTATTATTATTATGGATCATCACACAGTCAGCCAGATGTTCAGACTGGATTTGGCATTTTGTCTACCTATCGAGTCCTTACCCAGGACCTGGGATAGGCAGATGTGGATGTTTGATGGTATTACAGATATCGTCACAGGATGGAAGCAGTTCCTAGTAAGGCCGCCTTTTGCAATTGACTAATAGCGAATTTGTCAATGCCAATGGTGTTCAAGTGGTGCTCCAGTTGTTTTGGGATTGCACCCAAGGAGCCTATGACTATTGGTACTACCCTTGCTTGCTTTTGCCACAGTCTTTCTATTTCTATTTGTAGGTCTTTGTATTTTGTTATCTTCTCCAGTTCTTTCTCGTCTATTCTGCTGTCTCCAGGCACTGCCACGTCCACTATCCAGACTTTCTTGTCTTTCTTATCGACAATTGTTAAGTCTGGGGTGTTGTGTTGCAGGTGCTTGTCTGTTTGAATTCTGAAGTCCCAGAGCAGTTTAATTTTATCATTTTCTATGACTTTCTCTATTTTATGATCCCACCAGTTTTTGCTTACAGGCAAATGATATTTTTTGCAGATCTTCCAATGCACCATTGTTGCTACTTTGTCATGCCGCTGCTTGTAATCTGTGCAATCTTCTTGCAACAGCTTACCAGGTGGTCCACTGTTTCTTCAGCTTCTTTGCATAGGCGGCACTTACTGTCTGTTGCTGTCTTCTCAATTTTGACTTTATATGCATTTGTCCTTAAGGCTTGGTCTTGTGCAGCCAGAATTAGTCCCTCGGTCTCTTTCTTCAATTTTCCTGCTCTTAGCCATTGCCAGGTCTTGTTATTATCTGCTTTCCCAGCTATTTTTTTAATGTATTGGCCATGTAGTGCTTTGTCTTCCCATGCCTCTATTCTTCTTCTTCTTCTTCTTCTTCTTCTTCTTCTTCTTCTTCTTCTTCTTCTTCTTCTTCTTTCTTCTTCTTCTTCTTCTTCTTCTTCTTCTTCTTCTTCTTCTTCTTTCCTCCTCCTCCTCTCCTCCTCCTCCTCCTCCTCTCATTATTATTATTATTATTATTATTATTATTATTATTATCAATCATCGGACAGTCAGCCAGATGTTCAGACTGGATTTGGCATTTTGTCTACCTATCGAGTCCTTACCCAGGACCTGGGATAGGCAGATGTGGATGTTTGATGGTATTACAGATATCGTCGCAGGATGGAAGCAGTTCCTAATAAGGCCGCCTTTTGCAATTGACTAATAGCGAATTTGTCAATGCCAATGGTGTTCAAGTGGTGCTCCAGTTGTTTTGGGATTGCACCCAAGGAGCCTATACTATTGGTACTACCCTTGCTTGCTTTTGCCACAGTCTTTCTATTTCTATTTGTAGGTCTTTGTATTTTGTTATCTTCTCCAGTTCTTTCTCTTCTATTCTGCTATCTCCAGGCACTGCCACATCCACTATCCAGACTTTTTTGTCTTTCTTATCGACAATTGTTAAGTCTGGGGTGTTATGTTGCAGGTGCTTGTCTGTTTGAATTCTGAAGTCCCAGAGCAGTTTAATTTTATCATTTTCTATGACTTTCTCTATTTTATGATCCCACCAGTTTTTGCTTACAGGCAAATGATATTTTTTGCAGATCTTCCAATGCACCGTTGTTGCTACTTTGTCATGCCGCTGCTTGTAGTCAGTCTGTGCAATCTTCTTGCAACAGCTTACCAAGTGGTCCACTGTTTCTTCAGCTTCTTTGCATAGGTGGCACTTACTGTCTGTTGCTGTCTTCTCAATTTTGACTTTATATACATTTGTCTTAAGGCTTGGTCTTGTGCAGCCAGAATTAGTCCCTCGGTCTCTTTCTTCAATTTTCCTGCTCTTAGCCATTGCCAGGTCTTGTTATTATCTGCTTTCCCAGCTATTTTTTTTAATGTATTGGCCATGTAGTGCTTTGTCTTCCCATGCCTCTATTCTGTTCTTCATTTGGTCTTTCTTGTAGGCCAGTTTGGTCTCTCCAGTAGTTAGTAAGCCTTCCTGATATACTAAT